TTGGTACCACTAAGATGTTCAGTAAGCAATCGGTTGGTCAAAATGTGGTCGATTTTCGCATGAGTCGTACCTTTAGTGACACCCACTTCCACTCTCTGCCCACCGTCGGTGATCTTTCTTCATAGAAATGGAGTTGCCATGAAAAAGTTGTGTGGCGGATAATAGCTCAGCACGACGGCTACTATTTTCAATTGGGCGTCCTAATCCAAACCTCCCATCCCCTCTTCTGGCATCCCGATGTTCGCATTGAAGCAACCCACGACATTGCAGGAGGACTTCTCTTTACGGTTGACTTCCTCCAAATCTTCATAGAATGCATCAAGTTCCGAGTCATCAGCTGCTTGTTAGATTAGCAGCTAATGATAGTGATGCTTTTCTGATGCAAAAGACGGAGTCGAAGGACAGCCAGACGAGGTGATAGGATTCTATGCAAATCGATAAGATGGACAACAGTGTATGAAGATCGTCCCCAAAGCACCACGAATGATGATTGTGCCATCACTCAGCTGCTACGTCCGCCTTCCTGGACTTTATTTCCTGCAAGGCGAGCACGTGGTAGATGGTGCGCCCTGGCAGCTTCGAAAAAGGCGTGAAGATCGGCGTTGGTGGAGACGTCCTGGCGTTTTAGGTGCAGAGCATGAGACAATCTCCATGGCGAAAGAGATTGCGACCCATCTTACTGAGGACATGCGACTGTTACAAGAACTGCTCTACAACGGTACAGCTTTTCCATCGTCCCCTTAAGATACCAGTTTCGAAAGGGGTTTGACAAGGCGACACTGTCGCCAAAGCTGTTTACTGCCGCAGTGTGTGATGAGATCACTGGATTGGAACGAGAGAAGTTACGAAGTGGAAGATTCCTCTCAAACCTTCGTTTTGCGGACGACATTGTTCTCGTCTCAAGGTATATCACTGAAGCAGAGACGTTGTTGAAAGACTAAACGGAGTGGGAAAGCGGATAGGACTGCAAACCTAGAGAAGACTCTATTCATGAAAAACGCTTTTTGCGAGGGTCAGAAAATGGGATTAAAAAGCCCTCATATCGCGGAGACGTCATCTTACGTATACCTTGGGCGTTCGATAAACATGAAGAACGATCTGAAAGAAGAACTAAACAGGAGGCAAAGAACAGCTTAGGCCGCCTTCGGGCCCCTAGAAAAAGCCGCAGCCTATTTTTACAAACTTGGTAGAGATCAAAGGTTTTGTTAATAGTACCGCTATTTGAGAGTTGCGACGCGCACCACTAAGTTATAGGCATGTTATACTTCTGCGGCTGAAACTCGTGTTTGTCTAGATCTGTAATGTTATCACTTCTATGAATGCGTTTTTTGCAGTGATGTGATAATGTTAAGTTGTAATGCAATATGCAAAATAAATGTTTTTGCCTTATTTAAATATAGCACAAAAACATGTTGTTATATTGATTAAATAATAGAAAGTAAGTTCTAATTTTTTCATTGGATCTTGCTATCTGAATAGATAATTTACGAGTTCTTTTTGCAGGAATCTGCCCATATTCTTGTCTGCATTTGTATGCTTGTTGAGCTCATGCATCTTCATACAATACCGGATATGCAGTGAGCGAGTTTAAGCTTTAGGATTTGAGCTGTACATATCTAAAGGTCCAAATCATTAGGTTCATGAAACTCTTCCACTCCCGAATCTCACACCCTCTTTAGCATTTTTTATGAGACAAATCTCTCATTCAAATGTGGTAGGCATACCTGGATTTAGATCAAAGCTCGCAGTACGATGTACTCACTGGTACGCAAGTTGTAGTAAGTTTACAGAAGCTTATCCTTAAAAGTCGTTCTTTACCTAATGAAAAGCGAACAGACGAGGTTGGCTGAAATGCACATAGGTAAACTTGATGAGTTTTTTTTCGGTCAGTTATCGCGTTTGCTTTAAGAAAATCATTTTCTGTTGGTAAAGATTATGCCTTTGAAGAGGAAACGCCTTTAGTGTTCAGAGATTCATGTATCCTTGTGAAAGATGTATTTGGTTGGTATTTAGGAAGATTGAGATTATGCGAGATGCGATCGGCAAGTATGGTTGCTAAGGCAGGATTTTGCAGCCCGTCTAAATCCACTCTATGTGCTTATCTGTGTGATGTGCAAGATCACAAATTTCACATTTCGCACAATTTGAATGAATAAGAAAAAGTGCTAAGTCAAAGTGAACATGTGGAGAAAGATACATAGTGATAGGTGCAATTTGGAACATTTTGGACTCCAAATATGCTTTCATTACCTGCGAATCGTTATTTTTTTATTTTTGAAATGTTATCAATTAAAACAACAATACAAGGAGTTGTAAAATGTTATTACATGAATGTCCAGCTTCTGCATAGCTGTTTTCGCTTAAGATGGAGCTTCTAAGCAATTTATAAACCTGCAAGCAGTTATGAAAGCGAAAAAATGTTTATAACTTTCTCCAAACATGCGGATACGAAACAAAGATTTGGAATTAGCGTATCAAACTGCATCTATCATGCACTTTAATCACCACATTGCGTATCCTTCCCTAGTTAGCTATAAAAATACCTTTCGTATCGCAATTTTGCAACATTATCTCGGCAACCCACAGATCTGATTGCGAATTTTTCTGCTTTTGCCTGCAATTTTTCGTGCTAGCGACAAAATAAAATCACACCTGATTATTGCAAGTTATACGGAATTAGTTTCTAGACTAGATAAACCTTTTCCGAAGTGAGATTTTTGTGTAATTCGACTAGAGGAAAGATAACATGCTTATAAAATCAGATAATTGTGATAGCCATGAGCTCAACGTACTTTAACGAGGCTATATTGGAAGGGATAACTAATATGAAAGACATTAAAAATTTTTATCAGCGCAAGATGGCTCCATCGATTATATGACTTCTTCTGTTCACTCAAATGACATATGCATCGAGTGTTCAAGAAAGTAGAAAACTTTTGGAGTTTGCTGCAGCTATTTTGATTAATTTTGAGAGAGATTATGCGTAGGCCGATCTTGCTAGTGTGATTTCCTCGAACAGTATATATTTCGCACTCTGTATGTGGAAACACTAGCAACATTTTATGCAGAAACGCGTTTATTAAGGGTAATATTTTGAAGAATAGATAGTTTTAAAAAGTACCACAATCGTTGATTTCATATGGAATTTTCAAAATTGTGCACTCTGAAAACAAGTTTTACTATTTCAACTAACCTGCTACCACACATCTAAAGATAGTTTTAGCAATTTTGTAAAAACTCAATCACTTTTTCTAAGATCTAAACAAAATCAATTTACTTTATTGAGAATAATTTCGATGCAAGCTTGTTTCCATTCATTTCTTCAGCTATCCAATTTGTTCTGAAGCAATCCTTACTTAGAATAGACATCGCAGCCGATTCTTCGCAATTTTTGGAAATATTGAAAGCAGAATATCAATCGCGGTCGAGTAGCAAAGTTTTTCCAAAACCAAATATCCTCAAGTTTGCTCAGATT